AGCGAGCGAGCGAGCGAGCCGGGGGGGGGGCGCGGTTCCGCAGCGCACGCGGGAGGCAGAGCCGGCGCGCCCCTCCAGGGCCCGGGGAGCGGGGCGGCGGCGGCGGCGCTCGGGTCGGGCGCGGAGCCCTGCAGCGCCCGTGCCCTGCCGGCGGCCGCCGCTCGCGCCTCTGGCAGCCCGGGTCCCGAGCAAGCCGCGGGGCGTCCGGGTCTCGGTGCGCCCAGGGATCCCGCTCAGACAACGTTCCTGTCCGTGGTGAAGCGCACCGGGGAATTCAGATTTCGGGTGCTCACCGCTCGCTCGAGCAAGGCGGCTGCCAGGATCATCGCTCCCAGACGTGGCGTCCATTGTGAGAGACCGCGCGGGGGGGGGGCGGGGGGGGGCTTCGCAGTGCCCGACTCAGAAAGACCCAGGCAGACGCCGCTCGAGGCTGCCGGGCTCTGAGAGACGACGCAACTCGGCAGCTAAGCCTGCTCGGGATCCCCGGCAAGGGCAAGGCTCTCCACTGCCGGGTCGCCCATCCGCCTCCGTCCCAGTTGCTATCTGGGGGCTCCGCAAGGGCTGTGGCACAAGAGGGGCGGGTGGCAGCTGCTTCGTATGATTTGGCACCCGCAAAAGACCTTTGCACTTGCCTGGTATTTTAGCAATTTAACTTTATTTGCAATATTGCATGTTGTCCCGCACCAGTGCTTTGCCGCTGTGCTGAATCAAGCACAGGTGCCGCTGTGGTTGTGGTTGTACGTTTCTGCTTGTGTGTGTGCAGGCGGTTGGGGTCAGCAGGAGGGGCCACACAAACAGGCATAAACTGGCTGTGCTGCTGTGGTCACTTTCCCCAGTGCAGTAAATCAAGTTTCTAAAATAGTTGTGATTGTGTGACACAATGCTGGAGCACAACTTCCCACTCCACTTGGCATCCAGGCATGCCGCTAGGCGCTGAGGAAAGCCCAGGACTGCCCTCACCAGGCGGAGAATCCTCCAGGTAAAGCCAGGCCTGGTCAGCCCACATGAGGGAGAGCGTGGCTGGGCTCACACACAACACGCGACACACACGGAATGCAGCAAACGGCTTGTCGAGCTCCGCGAGCTCAGCCACAGTGGAGCAGCACAGTGAGGATAATCCTGCTGGAGTCACGGTGGGAACCAAGGGTCCATCCTACCCTGTCCGTGCTCGTCCACAGCTTGTTCAGTTGTGTGAACCCAGAAGCAACATTTTAGCATGGTGTCCGCACTGCTGCCACGAGCGAGCGGCTGCTGAGGGAGGCGACGCTCCCGCCAGCCCCCTCAGGCGGCCGACCTGCCCAGCGCCACTCGCAGGGGAGAGGCCACCCCGCCGCTGCCAGTCGCAGGGGTGAGGCACTGGCGCTGGGCAGGGGGTGGCCGCTCGCTGCAGCATTGCGCAGATGCGCCACTGCCCACTTCTTCCCTGGGGCTGAGCGGTGCCCTGGACCGGTCCTCAGCATGGGAGGTGAAGCCCTGCCACGCAACCTGGGCCGCTGGTGGGGCGGGTGCCTCCTGGGGGCTTGCCACCCACCGGGCTCTTCCTGCAGCTGCGCCCTGCGGAGAGGAGGGGAGAGGCGGGGCGGCAGTGGGGCGCTTGGTGGGCCGGCCGGTGACGGCGTCTCTCCCCACATTTCCTCCCTTCCCGTGCAGGTCTCCCCATTGCCGCAGCCCAGCCAGCGCCACAAGCAGCCCTCCAGTAAGTGTGCGCCCTGCAGGCGGGGTGGAGTGGGGCGGGGCGGGACGGGGAGGGGAGCGGGGCGGGTCCATGGCGCTGAGGGAGCTGGTGCCCTGCAGGGAAAGGCCAGGCCAAGCAGCTTTTCCCTGCCCCACGCCCTGAGCAGCCTCCCCCCAGACTGCCCCCTGCCCCGCACAGGCCGCAAACCCCCTCAAGCAGGAGACCTTTCACTTCAGATGGCACAGGCGGGGTGAATAAACACCAGTGATTTCCAACAGAATTAAAAAATAGATTTTTAAAAATTTGAATAGGACTTTAAATAAATTAAATAAGGATTTTTAAAATTTAAATTGGATTTTTAAAGAAAAATTTACCAAAAAATAGTTTTCTATTTAAGATGCATTATGATCCAGAGGTTATTCTTCATGAAATAAGGGTGAGTTTTTAACGATGTAGCACGAGGCTGTACACTCAAGCAAGGCTGGCATTTGTCGGTCTGTGGATTCCACGGATCGATTCACAACATCATGCTCTTCTGGAGGTTTCCGGAAGGTTATTGGGCAGTTTTTCTGTCTAGGAGAAACCATCTCAGATGCTTGAATGTAAACCTTCTCTTCTGCTCCCAGCGGCTGGTCCCTGTGCGATGGAGGACTTTGGATACTACAACGGGTCGCTGGCTGTGACGGTCTCTGGGTCGGAGTGCTTAAGCTGGTCAGACTTCCCTGAATACATGCAGCAGTATCCAAACCGGGGGCTCGGGAATCACAATTTCTGCAGGAATCCAGATGGCGGGGGGACGCCCTGGTGCTTTTACCTGCTCTCCTCTGGAGCGATTGGCTGGGCCACCTGCGACTGCAGCCAGGGTGAGTTCCCAGCGCTGCCCTGCCATTGCTGCTCACTCTCCTCATCCACGGTGTTTACCTTTGTGCCCCGTGCTCAGGTGGCCTCCCCGCCCGCTTCTTTCCCCCCAGCATCCCTGTGGAATAGCTCCGACGGGCAGGTGGTGGTGCTCTGAAAGCCACCCGGAGCTTCCCGGCCCAGTGCGGGCAGCCTGAGCCCTCGTCCCCCAGGCCCGTGTCTGCCGCTCTGCCTGCCCGCCCCCACCCCCCACTCTCAGCCGCTGACAGGCAAGGGGGAATTCCTCTTGCGTGGCGCCTCTTTCCTGCATGTTCCCGCTGGCACATCGATCAGCCTGGCTTTCCCCCTCGATTCAAACCAGCCCGTGGATGTGGAGACCAGGCAGAGCTTCCTTTTTCTCAACAGCAAGCAAACAGAGCCGGTTTCGTATGGGCTGGAATTGCCCTGCATTGGATGCAGCAGAGCCATCAAGCACCGCTGCCCCACGGTCGGCTTGGGCCAGAGCACTGGAGGGACCTCAGTCACGGCCTGTGCTGTGCTGCTCTGCTCTGCAGAGCCCTTGTAGAATCATAGAGTAGTCAAGCTGGAAGGGCCAGGAAGGTCATTGGTCCCACCCCCGTCTGTTGCAGGTCATCGTCCCACTCAAGATGTTCATCCAATTTCTTTTTGAAGGCCTCTGTGTGGGAGCGCCCACGGCCTCCCCAGGCAGCTGGCTCCACTGTCGCATTGCTCGGACCGTGAGGAAGCTCCTCCTGATGTCCTGGGCTGTTGTCACTCAGACTGTGAGGAAGCTCCTCCTGAACCTGGGCTGTTGTCACTTGACTTGATTATCCCGTGTCCTACACTCCGGCATCAGCAAGAGGAGATCCTGACCTTCCTCCTTGTGGCAGCCGTTGAGGTCCTTAGAGAGGGATACCGTGTCCCCTGGCCTGCCTGCAGAGTCGGGCCCGTCCAAGCTGGTCACTGGCCCCCGCCGACATGGGCTAGGTAGCCCCCTTGGGAAGGGGCCTGCCGATGCCATTCGTCTGAAGGGGCAGCCTCGCACCTCTGCCTCTCGGAGGCTTCCGGCTGTGCTGACCGTCCAGATAGGCAGCGCTTGGGTGAATCTGTCATTCAGGGAGTGAGAGCAATAGGGCAACTGCTTTAAATACACTGGAATTAATGAATGTGCTTCCGAAACAGCAAGAGTTCAGAACCCTGTGGTCTTCCTAGTATGTATGGTGGGTTTCAGCCTTGGGCTTTCACAGGCAGCCACGTCAGCCTTGTTTATGACCTGGCCACTTATAAACGTGGGATAAAAATTGATTTAGCTCCTCTCCTCCTTCCACGGATCACTTCACACTCCAATCCCCAAAGCAGATCACATAATCTTGGGTAGAGTTCAGTGGCAAGGATCAGTTCCCCGCATTGCCACAGAATTGTTTTAGTCCTTCCTGGTAGGAGGAGGGGGGTGGGGGTAGCTTTTGCTTTACTCCTCCTGGAGGAAGTATGTCCTCCAAAAGTCATGCAGGGTTCTGAGGATTCGGCTGACGCGGTGCTTGTGGCCTCTGTCTTGGCAGGGGCTGTGCGGCTGGTGGAGGGTGGCCGGGTGGAAGTGCGCCTCGGCGGACTGTGGGGCGCTGTCTGTGGGGATCGCTGGACAGACGCAGACGCCAGCGTGGTCTGCAGGCAGCTGGGGCTCAGGTAGGCATGCGCGAGATCGCCAGGTGGGACTGAAGACGCAGGAGCCGGTCACTTGTCCCGGGCAGACCTGGGAAGGGGCCAGCCAGAGACGGCTCTGGGGGCCTTGTGCTGGGCACCACGAGGCCTGTGGCGGCTGCCGCGCGGATGGAGGAAGGCTTGTGGCTGCCTGCGGCACAGGAGAACTCGTTCTGGCCCCTTCGGCTGCGGTGCTTCTTTGCGCTGCCTTCCTGCCAGCCCCGCTCCACCCGCTGAATCTTGCTGTTTCTTTGTGGGGAAACATTCCAGAACCACCTTGAGAAGGCAGAGGAGGGAATTCCCTGGCAACCAGCGTGCGGGCCGGAACTGCAAGACGCCTGGGTGCGCTCCGGGACTCGTCTGCGACATCCAGGGCAGGAGGTCTTGTCCGGCTCTGTGCTAGAGTCGGGCGAGAAGCGGCACCTGCGCTCGCGTGCCGTTTTGTGCCACGCCAGCTCCATTACTGCACTGCCAGTGGGGCTGCAGGGATGCCCACCGGCTCGCCCTCGCCTTGGCGAATGTGGGGGAAGGGCCTTCCCTTTTCCTGGCGTGAGAATCAAGCCCACTCCCTTAACAGGGACGGGCAGCCAAGGCGGCCATTTCTCAGAATGCTCTGCTGCATTAAGCGCCATAGAAGTTGAGGGATCATTGCATATAACCTAAAAATGGCTTCCTGATGTTTCATTGGAAGGTTACATAATGGAACTTGAGCTCCTGGCACATTTGCCCGTTCAATACTGATGCGTCTTGCGGAGTGTGTCTCCTTCCTTCCTTCGGAAGACCTTTGAGTCTTCTTCTGTGTGACGGGTGTCCTGGCCCCAGCGTGTCACGCCTGGGGCCACCATAGATCGGCCTTCATGGGCTATTGAGAGAACCGCAGTCGTCATCAAACCATCTTTTAATGGCTAGGTGGGCTGGTGACTACAGGACTGGTGGCGAGATGGGCCAAGGACAATCCAGTCGGACAAGCCCAGAGCGGGCGCTCAGGGGGAGAGCGCAGGTGCCAGAGCGCTCAAGGTGCAAGCGCCTGTCACCGGTGCCTCGGGCACCAGTGGCTCGCCCAGCCTTGAGCAAAGGAGAGCAGGCGTCAGGCGCTGGGCTTATCCTCTCCGGTTTTTGCCTGGCTTATGGTTTTTGCAGTGGGCCTCTCGGCAAAGGCGTGGGTGTGCACTTAGTTTAGCTCTGCCAGCCGACTTCCGGACTGTGGCAGGTCCCAGAGCACAGAGCAGAATGTTAATCAACAAGTGGGAAGGTTTTGATGCAGGGTTCAGGGCAGCACCCGGCGAGGCAGCAGAAGCAAGTGGAATTCTTGCAGCGAAACCCAGTGACTGCATTCTCTGTCTTCTCCTTTCTGGCTTAGTGAAATTGGTGCAGCCGGGAAGGAGTGCTGCACTGGGCTGGGACCAGCACATGTCCACCTGCAGTCCGCAAACTGCCACGGGGATGAGAAGATGCTGCTGCAGTGCCGTTACCTCGAGGGGCCCAGCCCCTGCGCCCACGGAGCCGCGGTGGCAACATGTGGCCCACCTGAAGGTAAACCGGGAAAACGAGTGGCTAGCGACCACCCAGCCCCTTCAGCCCCGTGGCAGGCGAGAGACAGTAGCTTAACAGAACTGAGCAACGTGCGGCACAGGCACGCTTCTCTTGCCCTGCTCCTTTTAGTCAGATGGGTTTTGAAGCGTCTGAGGAGCCTCTTATCCAAAGACGGCAGCTGGACGAGGGCCACAGGCAGCAGCAATGCCTGTTTCATGCCGCGCTCGGTGCAATGGCAACACTGCCCGCAGTCTCGCTTGTGCTGGGCGATAAGCCTAAAGGCGGTCACAAGGATGGGCTCACCGGCTGTGTGCAGAAGTCGGCAGTCGTCTCTAAAGGGTGGCTGGTGTTGCAATCCGCACGCGTGGTGTGTGGTGCAGACAGTCCAGGCCACTGATCCTGCCTCCTTGCCCTGCGCCCCTTCGCGCGGCGCTCCAGCCCGGCTCCGACATGGAGGAGGGCTGGGTAGAGGCTGTCTGGGTGACGGATGCAGGGGAGTCAGAGGGGGATTCCGCTCCCCTTGAGGCGAGCATCAGCACCCTCCCCTTGTTACACCGGCAAGACACACACAGCCAGAAGTGCCTCTGCTGGCCCTGGATCGCCGGGCGTGCTGACCAGTGGGTCGCCTTGGTTCCTGACCTCAGCGGGTCTGGATCTGACTTTAACTCACGCCTCCTCTCGGAGCGAGGGGCCTCAGGCAGCTCTTCTTCAGCCTGCAAAGTGCAGCAGAGTGGCGTATCCCCCCACAAGAACCGGAAGTGCCCCCTGCCTCGTTAAGCCCCGGTGTGCCTCCTGTGTCGAGAATGAGGCTTGGTTTACTTTAATCGGAGGGAACGCGTGCGGCGTGGCAGGGCCTGAGCCGCTGTAAGCAGCGCATTCCTCAGGACTCAGACAGAAAATGGCTGCATCATTAGTGCTTCCCAAACGGTGTTCAAGCGGCTGCTTTGCTTCTGAGGGAAGGGCAGGTGCGTGTGCTCCTGATCGGAACACGCTCCAAGCCTGTGTGCAGGCAGAGCTGCAAGAGTTTCCCGCTTTATGGGAAGAAAGTTTGCACGGGCATGTTACGCTCGGTGTAAAGGCCACGCAGTGTGCGTGGTTTTTAAAAATATATTTTCTAGCGTGAAAGGTAATGAAAGAATAAGAACTGTAAAGGCAGAACGGAAGGGTCCCAGCACATGTCCTCCCTGGATGCTTCCCCCGCAAAGGTGTTGTTTGCTGTATTTAAAAATATGTGAATAAGGTGTGGACAATGTAATGCAATCTGGTCTTCAGTTCAGAGCCGAGCGAGCTAAACCGGGACGTTATGCCCGAGCGCAGTGCCGGGAAGCTGCTTGGGAGGTGTGTGCCGTGCTTTGCTTTGTGCGTCCTGCCCCCGCAGCTGCTCCGGCGCGGAGCCAGGGGGGCCCCGCAGCCATGAGGGGTACTTTGGTGGGAGCCCCTTCTGGAGGAGCCCACCGGAAGGGCGGTTGTTCCGAGCAGTCCGGACCGTGCCTGATTTCGCTGGCTCTTTCTTCCGTGTGCTTGGTCTTGCGATTCTGGCGAACAGGTGTGGGGTCTCCACTTCGTCTGGTGGGGGGTGAGCAGAGCTTTGAGGGTCGAGTGGAAGTCTACCATGATGGCCGCTGGGGCACCATCTGCGACGACCAGTGGGACGACCGAGACGCCGAGGTGGTTTGCAGACAGCTGGGCCTCAGGTGAGCTGCCCCCTGGGGGGGGGCCGGGCACCACTGCCCCGACGCACGGTCCCCGCGGGGGTGCCCGGGGTCGCCCCCGCCCTCACAGCGCGCCTTGCTTTCTTCCCCAGCGGCACGGCAAAGGCTGCCTCGTGGGCGCACTTTGGGCAGGGCGCAGGCCCAGTCCTCCTGGACGAAGTGCAGTGCTCGGGCAACGAGCTCTCGCTGGACCAGTGTGAGAAGAATGGCTGGGGGGAGCACAACTGTGACCACACTGAGGATGCGGGGGTCACCTGCGGCCCCTCTGCAGGTAGCGATACCCCGTGTGGCTCCGGGGAGGCCACGGGCCCCTTGCAGGCAGACCTGGCGGGGAGCCCCCCCCCCCCCGGGCTGGTGTGCACTGAGGTGGGGCGCCTCTCCTTTGCCGGCTAACCGTCGGGCACTGGGGGTTCGCATGGGGCAAACACTGCCTGCCGCCCGCCCGAAGCAGCCGTGTCCGGAGTCCAGCCTCCTCCCGGTTGTCTGCACGCAAAGATCTTTGCATTTATGAGGAGCCACGCGTGCCGTCAGAGGACGTGCAGCGCAGCGAAACGGAGGCTCTGGTGCCTGAAGCTGCCCCCTGCTGCTTTGCCGCGAGGCCTGGCGCTCAGAACTGCGGTTGGATTGTGCCTGCCAAGCTCCAGGGGGAACCTCTGTGCCTGAGGCGCTCAGCAGCGCCTGACTCTGTTCCTCGGCGCGAGGCGCCCGAATTCCAACTCGGAACTAAGAGGCAGCTGATCACGGTGGTTGCGGGTGCCCCACTCGGTGTAGCTCCAGGAGGAGGGGGCGGGAGGGAAGGGGCTGTCTTCTTGACAGTCGGTCTGTATCTCTCCTACCCTGACAGAAGGTGCCATCCGGCTGGCAGGAGGCCGGAGCCCGAACGAAGGCAGGGTGGAGGTGTACCATAATGGCGTCTGGGGGCGTGTGTGTGATGATGGCTGGACAGGGATCAACACCCAGGTGGCTTGCAGACAGCTGGGTTTCAGGTAAGTGGAAAGAGAATCATGTTCTTTGAAAGGGATTTTCGATTGTCCACCTGTGGGTTGCTTATGTCAGACCAGAGTTAGCACAAATCATGATTTCCAAACTGATGTGAAAACCTGGTTTCTGAGTCTGGCTTATTGGCTAGTCACAGGTCACGATCTGTTAACTCAGATATGGCACCAAACCATCTTTGAAGTTACTGAACTCTGCCTAGGTGTGATATCTAAATCAAGTAAAAATACTATGTGTAATTAATTTTTAAAACCGATTTTAGCATCTTCACAATCAGAGAGCACTGTCAAAACTAGGTGTTACTTCTATCTATTTCCATCAGTATAGAAAGGAACATCTGGAAGATTATGGCAATGTTTTCTACTTTAAACAAACCTTGACATTTCATCACAAATACAATTTAAAGATATGCTACATCTCAGAAAGCTTTGCTCAGTACTTCAGTGTTAACAAAATGCACACAAACCTATGTACAATAATATGTAAAGGTATTTATCATGTCGTCAGTGTGGCACAGCACTTTAAAAATTATATAATTAAAAGAAAGGGCTTACGATCCAAAGGGCTTATAGTCCAAATTTTACCACAGAGGGAAGTGGAACATACGAGGGAAGCGATTGGTAAGGAACAAAGGATTCATGTGTTCTGTTTTGTTCTTTTCTGATCTATCCTAAGCTTGCCTTTAGGTCCCGGATGCCTAAATAAAAATTGCATTGATTTTAAAAGCCGGATTAACTGAGAAACTGTGCAAAATATCCCCCAACACACATCCTTCCTTCCTGCATTCATTTGGCCCCATACCAAAGTCCCTGAGAATATGACCCTGGGAAATGCGCCTGCAGCACCTGGTCATTTCCTGATCACGTTCAGCTCTGCTTTGGTGGGCTCCTGCCAAGGGGCCACTGACTCCTCCCGGACGAAGGCCGGTGCCTGAGCGCGGGCCCCTTGGTGCTTCTGCTTGCTCCCTCCAGGGGTCCTGCTGGGCTGGCGGCGGAGGGGCAGTTTGCATCCGGCCCGGCCCTCATCCTGCTGGACGACGTGGCCTGCACTGGCACGGAGGCGTCGCTGCTCGACTGTCCCCACAGTGACTGGGGCCAGCACGACTGCTCGCACGAGGAGGATGTGGGGCTCCGCTGCTCCGCCCCAGAGAGCAACGTGATTGCTGGGGAAGCGGCAGGTAACCGGCCGTGGAGGAGTCTGGGCGCTGCAGCGACGCGGGAACGGGGCACGGGGCACATGCGCTCAGCCACGGGCTCACTGAGGAACGGCCCTTCTGCACGGCCCGGTCCCCGAGATCTCAGAGGCGGGCGTGCTCGTCACTCGGTCCCTTCGTGCCGAAGGGGCCACGGCTGCAGGCGGCCACGTGTGCTCGTGCGCCGGGCCTGCTCGCATGAACTACGGGATGGGGGCCTTTGGCGTCCCCAGGGGCACACAGGCGTGGGCTGCTGAGCCCCCCCCCGCCCTGCCCCACTACTTCAGCTTCCGTAAGAGGGCAAGTGGGACTGGCATCTAACTGCTCATGGGACCCCACCCCACCTCCCTTCCTGCGGGAGAAGGACGAATGTTTAGTATTTCAGAATAGCTTTCAGGGGCTTTTCCCCTGCCCCAGGACATTTTGTTCCTGTCGGTTCTGATGAAGCCCATCCTATTTTGAAGTTGCTCAGGAGCGTTTTCAGTACAAGTTTCGGCACACTAGTTGCTTGTCGCTTTGCTCTTTCTTTGTCTTAAACAATGGCCTGTAACCCGCAGGGATCCCTGTGCGGCTGGTGGACGGGAAGAGTGCCCAAGAGGGGCGTGCTGAGGTTTTTCTGAGTGGGCAGTGGGGCAGCATCTGCGGTGATGGCTGGACAGATGGCGATGCGGCCGTGGTCTGCAGGCAGCTGGGTTACAGGTGACGGAACTGTGAGATCCTCCTGAGGAGGAGGGCAGCACTCCTGCAGTCAGTGGTCGGCTGCTGGCTTGCCCAGGGATGCCTTCGGCGGGGCCCCCAGGGTGCAAGCCCCGTCTCCCGGCCCTTCTGCCACTCCACTGCCAGGCGTGCTGCTCACGGATAGCACTTTGCCTCAGGGGCACGGACTCGTGAAGCAGTGGAGCGGGAAAGGGCCAGCAAGGCCCTCAGGTCCAGCCCCCTGCCTGCTGCCGAGCTCCCAGTTAAAGCGCTGCTTTCAGATGGCTGCCCAGATGCATCGTGCTGCCTCCGTGTGGGAGAGCCCACCGCCTCCCCAGGTCGTTGGATCCACTGCCAGCATTTCCAGGCACCGAGCTGGGATCTGGCTTCCTGCAACTCGCACCCATTATCCGTGCCCTGGACTCTGGGATGACTGGGGAGAGAGCCAGGCCTTCCTCTTTGTGACACCCGTCCAAGCACGAGTGGGGCGCTAGCCTGTCTCCCCTCAGTCTCCCCTTCTCAGGGCTAAACATACCCAGGTCGTTTGATCTCTCTTTATAGGACTTTGCTGATCACCTTCATTGCCTTCCCTGGAGCCTTTCCAGTTTGTCTGCATCTTTCCTAAACTGTAATGCTCAGAGCTGGATGCAGGACCCCAGATGAGGTCCAGCCAGGGGTGAGTAGAGGGGAACTAGTGACTCACGTGATCCGGAAGTGCGCCACGTCCACTCCAGAATAGAATGGGCCTTTTCTGCAGCTGCATCACATGGTCGGCTCCTATTCAGCCTGTGATCTACAAACATTCCAAGGTTCTTTTTGTTCCTCATATTGTTCAACCTGCCTTGTAGTTTTGCATGTGGGTCTTTTTCCCTAGGTGCCAAACTTGGCATTTTTTCCTGTTACATTTCATCCCGCTGTCAAGATCTTGACAGGCTGGAGTGCTGGGCTGAAAACAGCACAATGCAGAATCTTGCTTCTGACTTCCAGCGTATTGGCTGTCTCGCCCCAGTTTGTGTCATCTGCGGATCGGATCAGTGTTCCCTGCACTTCCTCCTCCAAGTCGTAAATGAAAATGGTGAAGCTCACTGGACTGGGACCAGGACTGGACCCTGCCTTGGGCTGGCCCCTCGTCCCTCTGCCCACCTTGAGAAGGTGCCACTGATGAGCACTCTCTGAGCCGGACTGTGGACCCACTGCGGACCCCCCCCCCCGACTGTTGTTCCATCTTGCCCACTTTTCGCTCGTTTGCTAATCAGGATATCACAGGGCACTTTGTCAAAGCTTTGCCGAAGTCAAGCTATGACGTCCAGAGCATGTCCACAGACCACAAGGGAGCCAATCAAAAACCACGATCAGATCAGTCTGGCAGGACCTGCTCTTTTCATTGCGCTGTTTTCATGGTGTTTGCAGAGATATCGCTTTATGATCTGCCCTGAAATTTTCCCAGAGATCGATGTACTTCCCGATGTCAGAAAGTACTTCCCTCAGGTATGGGATGGGCTTCCAAGGGAGGTGGTGGAGGCCCCATCAGTGAGGGCGTTCAAGGAGAGATTGGACAGCCACATGTTGGGCAGCCGGAGGTCAGACTAGATAGCCCAGGAGACCCCTCTGACTTGATTCGCTCCTGCTTCCCGCTCCCCTCCACTACTCCCGGCACTTCGCCCATCCGTTTCCCTTTTCTTCTTTGCTCTGTTTCTTTTAATCTAGAGGCTCTTGATGGGGCTACTAAGATCAGCCTTTCGTCTTTCTGTGCCGAGACATGTATCTTTCTCATAGGATAACTCCCCACACTTTGCGTTCCCTCTTTTCTTCCTGAACAAGTTCCATATCCTTCGTCTGCTCACTTCCAGCCACGGGAGGCATCCCACCAAGTTTCAGTTCCGCCTATCAAGTCATGGCTGCGTTCCCGTCTTCAGAGTTCAAGTTCGTGCTCTTTGCTTCTTGTACTCTGGGCATCAGTGTAGAGGCACCAAAAGCCACTGCTCTGCAGTCTAGCCGCCTTCCCATTTTTTTGGAAGACTGTTACTGGGGGCTGTGGGAGCTGGTCTCCCTGTTGCGCTGTCCCTTGTGACCCCCAAGTTTGGGGTTCTGCTTAAAGCTCTCCTGCTGATTTCTGTCCTGCTGTGGCCAAAGACATACTTTCCTCCCTGTCTTTGCGAGGTGCAGCCCACCTGCCAGGACATGTCACCTGTGGTCCCAGAATGCAAATCTCTCACGCCAGCACCACTTCTGTAGTCAGGTGTGTGTCCGGAGCATCCTCCTTTCCCTCTCTCTCACTCTCCCAGCCACTAGGAGGCCAGGTGAGAAACCAGTTCGGGCCCCATCAGCTTCCCCAACCTGGACACACGCCCCAGGCATTGGGCGGTGGCTGCCGCCATCCCCGGCCACATGGCCAAGGCGTCAGGTTTAGTCTTTGGAGGGCTCCGCTGCAGTGGCTCCTGAATAAGGCCGCAGATTTTCTTCTTGCAGTGGTGCTGCGAAGGCCAGGACCACGGCTCGCTGGGGCAAAGGACACACGCCCGCTCACCTGGCCAAGGTGGAGTGCCGTGGCACTGAAGGCACTTTGCGGGAGTGCGCTGTCCGGGAAAGCCGTGCACACAGCTGCTGGCGTGGCAAAGAAGCCGGAGTGATCTGTGACTTTGTGGAGGAGGAGATCCAGGCAATCGGAAATCCAGGTATTTAATTTCATCCCAGAAGCTGAAACTGTCCGAGTGAGACACAAACTATGCATGAATGATCTACCATCTTTAGCACTGAAACATTAAAAACAATTTTAAACACGTAAGAAGAGTTAAATATTGAAGCCACAGGTGCAGAAGAGTTAATAACGAGTTGACATGGGGCCCCAACAAAACAACTGATTAGTTAAAGTCCTACCACATTCCATTAACTGCCTGGGATGAGAGGGCGGTCCTAAGCTGGTGACCCAAAGATGGCAGCCCTTTGACACAGCAGTTCATGTAAAGGGTTGGAGCAGGACTGGAGGGCGAGTTGGAGCCCAACAGGCAGTGCGAAAGGGCCGTGATGAGATGTGCTTAATTCTTCTGGCTTTTGGCAGATGCAGCGCTCAGCATGTGCGGGCTGCAGTTGCTTCACTACCGCAAGAAAAGGATAATCGGAGGAAACAAATCGCAAAGGTACCCTGCTTGGTGCTTGTTATTCAGGGGCCGCCTGTGTTTGGCTCCCATTTACTCTTCCAGACAGCCGCCAAATGTCTGCAGCTTCCCGGAACGGATTTGCAGCTCAACGGCCCTCCGGAAGTTGCCACTCTCCGCTTAGGTCATGAAGCACCTTTGCCAAACCCCGGAGCAATGAGAGCTGTGTCTCCTTTTCTGTGCTGAGGTGCAAGTGCCCTGCAGCGCGGGGGGCGGGGGGTGAAAATGGATGCGCAAACCGCACCGCAAAGAGGGGCCTGTGCCTGCTTTCCTGACATCACCGAGGGCTGGGGAGAGGCTGGAGCTGCAGTGCCTGGGTGCTCCAGGCCGCTCTCCCCATGTTGAGGCCCTGCCTTGCAACACGCTAATCAAAACAGGTTTGAAACACCCTTCTTCAAAATGGGGTCTGCATGCCCCAAACGCTGCTATGAGCGGGCAATGCCTTGGGACACGGATGGGAGCCACCTGAAGGCTCGACGAGCTCTCGGGCTGGGTGGGGATGAAGACAGCGGTGGCCCAAAGGGAGACGGCTTGCGGCTCCAGGAAGCCAGGCAGCCTCCGCTGCGGCGGGGAGGCTGGAGCAGCCCGGCCTCACTCCGTGCCTCCGCCCCACAGGAGGGAGCAGGGCCCGGGCAGGAGCGCTGCTGGGCGTCCATGGGCAGCGCCCCATCCTAAGGGCGGTCCCGGCAGCACTGGCACAGGCACGTGCCCCTCTGGGGAAGGGGTTCCCCCCCCAGCCTCAGGGGGGCAGGGATGTGCACAAATGTGTCGAGCAGCTACTCCAGGCTGCCTTCCTCAGCGGGGTCTTCTGCGGGAAGGAAAGGGCCGGCAGGGCCCTTCAGGCCGTGCGGGAAGCTGTGTGCGGAAGGGAGGGGCCAGGCCTGGCGCAGCTGCAGGCCATGGGCAGGATCGCTCCCCCCCCCCCGAGCATCGTGAGCATCATCGCAGGCGAGCTGCGCAGGTGGAGGGCATGGCCCTCGCGGAGAGGAGCGCGCCCTCAGCAGCCCCACCCTGCCGCTGCCTTCCCTTCCAGGGGTGGGTGGCCGTGGCAGCTCTCGCTGCGCCTGAGGGGCTTCCACAGAGAGGCCCGCCTGCTGTGTGGAGCCACGCTGATCGGCAGCTGCTGGGCGCTGACGGCCGCACACTGCTTCAAACGGTAAGGGGCAGCTGCGGGGGGCCCGGGCGCACGAGGGGTGGTCACGATGCGCGGGCATCTCAGCCACAGGCCAGAGAAATGCGCTGCCCACCCCGAAGCGCCCGCCCGAGCACAGGGGCCGTGCGGCTGGCTGCGTTTGTGGGCGCGGAGGGGCAGGAGGAGGTGCGGATGCAGGTGCGGCTCCTTGCACAGCAGCGTTGGTTCAGGCGGCCCCTGCGGGACCCCTGAGCAAGGCGTCCAGCCTGCGTTCCAGCGCAAGGGAGAAGTGGCTGGCCCGCGGCGGCCGAGAGGTGACGGCCGGCCGCTCTCTCGGCTGCCAGGTTTGGCGTGGACGTGCGGCGCTACCTCCTGCGCGTGGGAGACCACCACACGGGCGCGAGGGACGAGTTCGAGCGGGAGCTGCCCCTGGAGAAGATCATCCTCCACAGGAACTATCAGTCCAGCGGCAACGACAACGACATCGCCCTGATCAGAATGCAGGGCAGAGACGGCGACTGCCTCTCCTTCAGCCGGCACGTCCTTCCCGTCTGCCTGCCCGGGAGGAAAGAGAGGGCGGCCGTGAACAGAGGGGCCTGCTTCATATCTGGCTGGGGGGACACAGGTACGTAGTGGGCGGGGGCCAGAGCCCCTGGCTGCCTTTGCGGGTTCTCAGACGGCTTGCAGAGGCCACACCTTTGTGAAGCCGCGCAACCGCGTGGCCCTCGACACCCCGGCCCCCCCAGCCCCTTCCGTCCCACTTGCGGTCCCCATCCTCGTGCCAGCAGAGGTGCCTGGAGCCTCTCGCTCTCCGTTTGTGGCAGTGATGCAGCCGACGTCCGGATGCCACAGAAGGACACTGGAGGGTCGCTGCCGACATGCACGCTGCTCTGGTTGGGGAGCCGTGCTGGCGTTTAACCCAGCGATGCCCAGGACCATTGTCAGGTCTCCTGGGATGAGCAAAGATTACTGATGAAGTGCGGCATTTTTCCGTCTATCAGATGCCCCCATGTATGGGGCACCCTCCACTTTTCCTACCAGTCTCCAAGCGAGCCAACTGCTGCTGCACCTGCCGCCTTGCTGCCTCCGCGAGTGCGCCCACCTCCCCCCCCCCGGGCACCTGCGTTTCTCCTCTCAGACCCCCGTGCATAAGACACCACTCCATTTTTAGGTAAACATTTTAAAGAAAAAGTATCTTATACACGGCAAAAGTATGGTATGTTAATGGAATTTCTAAGGTGCAAGATCCTCAAATACTTCTGTTTTGGGGTGCGGGAGAAATCTAATTACGGATGATCAAGAAGCAGTGCGTTTGTGGCGAACCTTGCCCAGCCCAGAGGCACCCTGCTGAGAGGCTTGTGCAGGAAGACTGGCAAGAGTGTTTCTTCCAGGCACTGACTCCGGGACGAATACTTAGATTCCAGCTTGGTTTTGTTTAATTTTCTGCCACAATAAAAACACTTTGCGTCTCCACAGCACTTAGTTTCTTGCGTACATCAAGTAGCAACAAGGCCCATTAAATCAATTTCTATTCCATAGCCCAACTCAACAAAATGTAACAAAGTCGAAAGAGCACGAATACTGTTGCAAGGCACCTTGTGTAAGAATCAACTGTTTTGTCAACTCCATACTCACTGGTATATTTGAGAAACATTATTTTGCATGACAAAAAAGGAACCCAAACAGGGTTACAACTAGCATGGCTTTAAAATGAATGATAGATGCCATCTGTGTAATGATAGATTAAAATTTGCATCATGTGAAAGCATTGCGCTCACTGGGCGAAAGAATTTCTCCTGCTCACGTCCAATTGAACAGAATAGGACTTGTTTGCTTGCTGTGTCGAGTGACACCTGTTGTCTTCTGCTGTTGTTTCAGGAAGGTCGTATTCAAGGATACTGCTGCAGGGTTCCGTTCCCCTGCTTCCACGTCAGGTGTGCAAGTCCCGTTACGGAAGGAAATTCACGAGTCGCATGCTCTGTGCTGGAAACCTTTCGGAAGAGAACCGGGTGGACAGCTGCCAGGGAGACAGCGGGGGTCCACTGATGTGTCAGAGGTCAAGTGGGCACTGGGTAATTCTAGGGATCACTTCCTGGGGCTATGGGTGTGGACGGAAAGATTCCCCCGGAGTTTACACAAAAGTCAGCAAGTTTGTGCCCTGGATCAAGAAGGTGGCCAGACCGATAGGAGAGGGTCCAGCCCAGAGGTGAGCTCCTGTTGCCTCGCCCGGCAGCGCTGGGCACCCTGAGGTCCGCCTTCAGCCGTCCCTTTGTGAGCATCCACTGCCTACATTCGTACCCGAGGAAGAGTTGCTTGTAAATAAGCAGACTTGGGCCTCCTGGTGGGAATGGGCCAGTGAGGAAACCCCCGTGCTTGGTGTCTCTGTATTAATGTGAAGCCCCCTTGCTGAAAGCCACAAGCCATGGCAAAGCAACCCCCCCCCCCCCCGCCGCCGCCCCGCTCTGCAGGCGCAGTGGCAAAAGGACCAGAGGCGAATTCGGACTCTTGCTCTGAGCTGACTGTTCCATGATGCATCTGATAGCACTGCTGCTCATGCTGCGGCAGAGACAAGCTCGCAAGAGTGGTGGGATTGCACAGGAATGTGCTGAGTGGACACGTTGTTACTGCATACCTTTCATTGTGTTCCATGTGCACTTTGGGACTCAAGCAGGGCTCCTGCTGTCTCTCCTCCACCTCTGCATTTGGTTTCCCATGACCGTCTCCGCCTGCACTTGAGTTGCCTGAATTAGCAAGATGTGTAGTCGGTATCACAGAGCATCACTGGCAGCTGCGTTTCAGAAACACCGGTCCCGTGTTTCAGTCCTCTGCTTGTGGCAAAGGATGCCGGGACTGGGGCAGGAGCAGGGGGCCATCCTAGCCACACGCTTTGTTCTCTGCTTTCACCTGAAGAACAAGGTTAGGGTTGATTTTACCCAGCATGTTTCCCTTTGATGCCTTTGTTGATTGCATATAAAGTATCCATCACATCTGCGTATTTCGTAAAAATAGGGTACACCTGATGCCTTGAGAAACTTAAGGAAACGCCTGAAACAATCTACAGTACAACCTTGGATTGCAAGTAACTTGGTCTGCAAGTGTTTTGCAAGATGAGCAAAAAGTTTTTCTAAATTTTAACTTGATAAACGAGTGATGTCTCTCAGTACGAGTATTACACGTGCTTTGCCTGCTGAGCATCACGTCACAACTGAGCGCCAGATCCTCTCTCTCTCTCTGCGGGTGTGAGTACAGCATCGTCTCCCCTTCCTTGAGCACGCCCGCTTCAAATTTTTGTGATTAAAAAAAAAGTTACAGAACGGATTAACCTTATTTACATTGAACCTTATGGGGAAACTCGCTTTGATATCCAAGTGCTTTGGATTACAAGCATGTTTCTGGAACAAATTATGCTCGCAGTCCAAGATTTTACTGTATTTGGAGACTGCCTGAGTCAGTGGGATGCAAGCAAAACCCCCAAATGCATTTTGTTTGCTCAGAATGCATCTATTTACACTCCCATCGGTTTGCAAGAAGTGGAGCGCCTGTCCCCCCCCATTTGTCTCAGACCAAGTGCACTCGTAGGCCACGGGGAGGTAGGGTTCTGAAATAAATATGGCTCGGGATCTGTAAACCTTCGCTCCCTGGGTGTGTTTTCAAGTAAACGCTCAAAGAAGAGTTCTAAAGCTCAACACGGGTTGTTGAACTCCTAATGAACCTCCCCCATGTGGCCCTTCCCCAAAGGCCCCTCTGTGTGCGTATCCCCAAGAGGCCGGGCAGCCAGCCATGGAAGGCTGCAGATCCTGGGTGGGTGCTCCTGGCTTTCCATTTGTCTGGACTTTTCAGAGGCACTTTTAAACGAATTATCTAAACCTACTTAGCTCTGGTTTTACCAGTCCACTATTTGTCAATTTAATTGTGTGCACTTACCATATTTCTCCGTGTATAAGATGATACTTTTTCTTAAAAATATTTACCTAACAATGAAGGGGCGTCTTATACATGGGGGGCCAAGAGGAGAACCACGGGCACGCTGGGGTGGGGGGAGAGACTGGTGCGATCGCGGGCGTGCATGGCGGGGAGGCGGCGGGCAGGTGCGCGCAGCAGCTTGCTCACGCAGAGATCAGTAAGAAAAGTGGGGGCACCCCATACATCGGGGCGTTTTATAGTCGGAAAAATACGGTAACTTTCTTAAAAACACAGCGGGATGGAGATTTGTGGAATTAACAAACACTGCCTAGGACGTCATTGAGAACCGTGCGCGCACCAATGCGCTGCTCTTCAGCTTGTGGAAAGCTGAAAGAGAACCCGATGCAGCAGCAGCAGCTTGCTCTTTGGAAGGCGGGCCGAGGGAGCTCAGGAGCGGCTCCTGCAGGTGCTGCTCTGTGGAACGCTGATGTTGGGAGCCGATTTACTGCTGTGTAGCAGTGCCTTTCTCTCTCCCCTTAAGTTGAACTTGTGTGTTGATAAATAAAGCAAATATGGCCAAAGATGTGGTAAGTCTTTAGTGCTACGTGACCCTGGTTGCCGCCCGGTGTTTCCTTGCTCAGGGAAAAGGAAGCTTCCTTGATGATAACTATGCTAAGATTTGGGTATCGACGCTGTCCTTTCTAACCCAGGAGCAATCCCTGTGAATTTAGTGGCACTTAATCCTGAACAGACACACCTTTACTTCACCTTTCACCTTTAAGTACTTATGACTTCTGCGAAGTAGAAAGTGGGCCTTTTGTCCCCTGCCCTGGAAACATTCCGTTGCAGCAAAAGGCACTGCCCAGCTAGACCGGTGCCACCACCGTTCTGCATCTGTAGACAGCTTCATCAGTCGCAGCAACTAAGACACTGGTTAACAGTAATCTCTCTTTCAGCCAAGACTGTGGCTGGTGTAAAGCAGCATGGAACCATGTGCTAACATTCTTCCATGTTCAATTAAATTCAGCACAATCTCCTCCTCTCCGCTGTAAAAATGGCAAGGCACAGCAATTACTGAATTGCCTGCTCTGCATTATTAGCATGAGGTGTAATTACAGCTGCCAATGTTAATTGCTATCATCTTTTCTTCAGCTAGAATTTGCTTTCCAGGCAGCCTGGCCATGCAAGAGACCTTCTACTAGAGAACTTCAAGTCTAGTTAATGAATCTATCCCTATCTTAAAGGACTTTGAGATTCTCTTTGGGTGATTGAACAGATGGCCCAAGGATCAAAGGGAAACACCTGGGCTTCTTTGAAAAGGAAGACTAGAAATGTTTTGAAAATACAAACTGTTTGTTGCTCCTGGGCTATAATATGAAGGTGCCCTCCAGGCGTGGCGGGTGAAGTAGGTGGGAATGGAGGCGCAAGGAAAGGCCGCCAATGGCCCCTTCTCGCATGTTCATCCTTCAGCACCTTACTGATGAGGGCAGCCCAGCGCTCTCCTCCTCCCAGCAACGTAGGAGCATTTGGAAATGCAGAGACAGCTGCCACGCTTAGAAGGGATTTTGTCAGTGCAGCAAAACTCTAACCAGACTTCTACATATAAAACCGCTGCCCTGCAGTCTGCCTTTGGCCTCCTTGATGAGAGTTCCACTTGGTCTCTTTCAGAGGGGCAGCAACGTAATTTATTGCTCAGGACAGGCAAAGCTTGAAGCAGATTCCAAGTTAGCAGGGTTAAATTGCAGCAGACTGACCACAGTTCAGTGATGCTTACACCACTGCTCACCGGGAATCGCAGAACCTGGGGCTGCCTATGGAGGCTTCAGGCTGAACTTAAGGAAGTAATGATCTGTCTTGGTAACAAATGAGAAAGAATTGCGAAATGAAAACTGTAGTTTGCCACATACGGGGAACACGGAACAGGTTTTGAGAGTCAAAGCAATCTCATTCACACATGCTTGATAGTAGTTTGCCTGATAAATAGAATTTACTTTCAAGTAAGTCCACATAGGTTAACAGCTGCATTTCTGCATATACTTTCCCCACCGATGTCTCTCTATGGCAAGAGAGGTTCGTCCCCTGCTGCAGCCTTTTAAAAAATCCTTAAAAGTCCTCAGGCACACAGTTCAGCTTGGCTATCTTTGCTTTTCCATATGCCTTTGTTCAGAACTGTTAAGGCACAGGAGCTTTCTCCCTGGCAGACACTTAATACACAAGGCTGCTTGTCCAATTCTGTATAGAATTTCATGGGTCCTCTGGGAAAGATGCAAGAGCCCTCCATAAAAATAAAATGGAGAAGTCCAGGATTTTGCCCTAGCTGCGACTGGGCAGTAGAGGCAACCCAAAGCAAAAGGCAACGTTAATACAAAGACGTGCTCTTTCCCACATGACCCTTTATTTAGTTTTCAAATAAAGCAAATGCAATGCTCCTGTGTGCACGTTAGTGGCCTGCAAGGTTTCTGCGGGCAACAGAGCCCTATTCTGGGCTGGAAGGAGGTAGCGGTGGGACTGGCATTAGAAGTACATCGGCCTTCGCTATAAAACAGAGGCGACACCGACAGCTCCCGAGGACTATGTCCCGATGTTCCCACTGTTCCGATGCAAACGCAGCAATTCCTGAGCTGACAGATGCGGCCGTCCCTCACTTTTGCAGGCTCTGCGTCCCCGCGGAAGCCCGTCCAGGGTCGGTGCCAGACTGGACAGGCCCGGGTGCGGGGCATCCAGGCTTCGAGCCTGTTTCTGCGCGGACAGCGCTGCTCCGGCGACGCCCCCGCCTCACCGTACGGGCCCTGGAAGGAACGCCCGACGCAGGCACAGGGGCGCGGCGCTCCTGCGGGACCCCGCCTTCGCCCGAGGGGGCCTCGGAGCCGCGGCACACGGTGCTGGAGACCGACGCTGCCCGGGCGAGGAGCCCGGATCCCGCCGCGGCCCCCTCTCGTCAGGCACGAAGCGCCTCCGGGGACTTCTCGCGGGCGCCCCGCCGCTCCCCGCCAGCGCTTGCCCGCAGCGGCGGCGGAGGGACCGGGCCCGCTCACGCACGCGCGCGGAGGCCGACGGGAAGCCGCTCTATGGCCAGAGCCTCCCTCGCTACGCTTCCCCGCCGCCTCTATGGTCAGGGCGGCGGAAGCCGGAAGGCCCGCGGCCGGAAGAGGGCTTCAGCTGGCGGGGCGGAGCCGGCGCCGTCTCCGTCGCTCCGAGGGAGGGAGCTGCGCGCGGGGGGCCATTTTAGCGCCTGTCCAGCGACGGCCGAGCGGAGGGTTCGGCACGCCAGGCCGGGCCGAGGTCTTTCTGGAGAGGCGCGGACGGAGCCGCCGCCGCGCCGCGCCGCCCCCTCCGGCGCCGCCAGGCCCCCCGCGATGGAGAGCGCCGCCACGAAGGGGCTCTAGCGGCCGGGCCCGGGCGGACCGCCCCGCGCACCCCTCGCCGCCGCGCCCCGCCGGGTCTGCCGCTTCCCGTCGCGCGCGGGAAGGCCGCTCCGCCCTTTCGCCCGCCCGTGCGGCTCGGCGGTCTCCGCGCCGCCCCTCCGCG